TAAGCCCAGCCTTATCAAACTGATGGTGTTCAACATTTTTAGTACATGATCCTAATAAAACTCAACACAAAAATACCTATTGCCATCAATGGACGACTATGACAGCAGCCTTCATTTCATCAGCTACGCCGGGAAATGAAAATCTTGAACACAGGCCTCTGGAAGCACAAAAGATGTATCCCGCTTTGTGCAATGCTTAGATACACATATTTCACAACTTCAATTAATTCATATGCTGCTTTCCTACAGGAGAAAATAAGTTTCTCTTTGCCGAGGCCCAATGGATACAAATAATCCTAAGAGAACTGTATCAGCATAAAAATAATAAGGGGAAAGCTTAGTGAGTTCAGCATCATTCTGTTTTAACATCCAGACTAATCTCTCACTGGAACAATGTTTCACTGATAATTACTAGTGGCCCGAAAGATTATATTCACTAATAGAACACTCTAATTCAAAAATATAATGCAAGGAGGATCACTGGGCATCTCCTCGCCCAGCACATCGTTTCCCTATGCAGGGGTCAAAAGCCAAAGTGCAGCTGAAATCGCATTTCTTGGAACAGACCCAGCAGAGCATCCCTAAAGAGCAGCTATCACCAATGCACACTGCCATTAATAAACTGCTTACTAATAACAAAGACAGCGAAAATATGCACTTACTGACTTGTGTTTACACGCTCCCTTCCTTGCACTCCTTGCCGGAATGCTTCTCCGTCCCCCCTCCCCACCCCCCTTGAAGCGCCAAAGGCTGGAAGGCATGCAAGTAAAGCCAGCCCAGTGTAGTAAAATAAAGGGTATCTCCTGAAGACCCCTTTGACGCTTTCACAACAAAGTCACAGAAGGAAGACTGAGGTCACACAATACTAACCTGGCTCTTTCAACAGCCACCAGAGGATAACAAACAAGAATGTAAAAGAAATGTATGAATGCAGTGGGTGAAAAGCAAGAACCTCTTTTAATGGCCTAGACTCAGTCACTGATTTAAATCAGTTGTTACATGTGCAATTAAGCAAGGATGTGAAAGTATTAAAACGGACACAAAAGTAGATGGTGTGTGCCCTTGCATGCACAGCATTTAACTTGAGCGTGATAATTCAGACAATATATCGTATTTCACATGGACTGTAGAAAAGCCTAAGGGAATGATCCCACCAGATTTTCTGCTGGTGAAAAAGGAAGGAAGGGCCCGCTCCGACCATGCAGAAACGCTATGCTGGAGATCATGGGACCTGAATATACAAAAGCCATGTCAGATACAGGCTCATTAGGGAGAGGAATTTGGTAAGATTGAAAAGGAGGAAAAAGCCGTCTGGATCCAGCCCTGCATGTGACATCAAACTACTTCTAGTCTCTTCCCTAAAGAGATAACACCTTCTGTTATGCACATCTTTCTCTGAACTTAAACCAAGCAAGACAGACAGAGCAAAACTACTCAAGATCTATATATCTGTCAAGCCTCTGTTGTATTAATACAATTCCAAATGCTCAAAGTGTCACATAACCCTGTGGCTTCAAACAGCAATAGACAACAACTTGAAAGGATTTTTGATGGCTTGCAGATTTGGTTTGTTTAATTTATTATTAATAAAGTTTTAAATGTTTTACACCTTGTTTGCCAAAAGCAGCTGAATCAAGCACGCACTATATATGCAGAATATTCCTGAAAGAAGCGAAAATTCGACCGATAGGTTGGTAGTAAATTTATGTTTCATAGCACTTGTTAAGCCTCAACAATTATGGTCTACATGCATCTCCTAGTTACAAAAACACTTGATGGGCTCAATGAAACTAGTGGATGCTGTACCAATGACTTAAAAGATTTCACCATAAAAATAAAATCTAGCAAGAGGAGCAATGGACATGCTCTCCCCACTACAGTTTGTCATATTTCCCTCTCTGCCTATTAATCAATTAGAAGCAAAACCTCCATCAAGAATAATGAAACTACGAACACAAGAGAACAAAGGTGAAGTAAAGCCTCTCAGATGAAGCCCCATGGCTGGATTAGGAAACCAGATGATTAGTTTTGAGGAGGGGGTATACAGACTGACAGAAGTACCTCAGGTTTACTTACACACACAAATGAACCTAGTAATTCTATACAAAGTTACTCCAATCTAAACCCAAAGATTTAAATGTGCTTGGACTGGAGTAACTCTGTATTGGGAAGCACTGTAAATACATTTTGGAAAGCATTTGAATGACAGTCACTAGAACTGTTCTTGCCATTTTCTACCTTATTTACATCATTTGGGAAAACATGGATTAAATATTCAAGTATTAGCAAAGACATGTGAACCCAAACATGCAATTCCCAGTTTGAGATCTACATTGTAAAGGCTGAAAAGTGGAAAAATATCTTAAAGATGCTTCAAAAAGGGATTTTGAATTTATGCATGTTGTTCCCTGATTTCAAGATTATTCTCTTTGCATTTTCCTTGCTGCACCTATGCGGACATGCGTCTTCATTTTCTTCAACAACCCAAGGCAAAATCAGAAAATGATTACCTGTGCCTGCACTTCCTTAACCGGATAGAAACCCCATTATGCAAACACCAATTTTCCTATGCTCCTTATAGCCTAGCTCACTGCATGTCACTCACGTAGCCCCAGGTCAACCTAAATAGCACTCCCATTAATCCAAACTTCCAATTATGCAAATGCTTTGAATGGATCTCCCCATGGCTATTTGAATACATGAAGTTGTTCTGCACTTGTTTTGATGGGGGGGGGGACGACTCTCCATTCCCTCCAGATTTTCTTTAAACTGAACATGGGTCAGAGCAACATCATACAAAATTAGTGAAAAAGAATGCCCGCTTATTCACTGAAAAAACAGGATGGAAACTTTGCTACTAAACTTTAACCATGACAGATTTTCTGGAACATGTTCCTGAACTATCATCTGACGAAAGGAGAAAAGGCATTAAGTGGGTTGTATACAATGAAAGCTCTAACCCTGGGTTTTATTTCAAGTCATCTTAACTTTACTCATCATTACTAGCTTAACAAGAACCAAGAGGTCTATTTGGGCAAGGTGGGGGGAAAACTCTTGACCTTAGTTCAAAATTAATTAGATTTAAATGCTAATTTGAAAAAAAAAATAGAATGAAGCACACTTATTCATTCTTAAATCTTATTTTAGCAATTTAAAAGAGATTATATACAAGATGGGAAGAAATGAAGCTTAAATTTCATTTAGCATCTGGATTACAGATTCCTATTAAACAAACCAGAGCTCATTATAAAATCAATATCAACTTAACCAGAGTGCCCCAAGAGAAATAGCAAAAAGGTCACTCCCAGAAATTCAAACAATTTTCCTGCTGGAAGAGCATGATTTTAATTACAGATACTATTAATTAGAACTGTCACAGCAAAAAGTATCCTCTTACTTATCACAACTAAAAGTATGATTTTTCCTCCAGATCATTAAATTTTTAAACATTCAGAAAGAAAGAAAGAAAGGCTGTGTTTTATTGTAAACACCACCTTACATTTAACTACAAGAAAAACAGTTTAGTTAGTTATTAAGAGTTATACACGTTTCTTCAACAAAGGTATCTTCAGTAAAAGTCACCCTTTTTCTCGTCTTTGGTATTCTCCTCATGCTTAGAACTCGTATTTAAAGCTTTTCCTCTGAAATGCTAATAGCTTGGCACATGCTTGAATTCATCACTCTCACTGAAGACTTCATCAGGCATGCAAAGTTTCCCATACAAATGTACACCCCTCCCAATGGGAGGAAATTGCACTTTGTAAAGGTAACTTAAGGGTGAAAAAAAAATTAGAGGAAGGAAATGTGGATCCATTTCTTTGAGGTTTTATTAACTCCAGTTTTTGTACAGGAGGATACCTATTCAAGCGCATATGGTATTCAGAGACTACACCAGTAAAAATAAAAATGAACAGCTTTAACTCCAAAAATTCACTAAATATTTTATTTGAATATATAGACAATTGCTCCAAGAGCACACTTAAGCACTTCCGAGTGTTCTGACGAAACTCAGGAAAATTCTATATGGTTACCAAGATTTCTGGAAATGAGTCATGAAACAGTATCATTTGTCCAGTCATACAATATTCAATACACTAAATAACATTTGTTTCTATGCAGTAATAAAAAATTGACCATATTTATTTTTTTTTAAATTATATTCCACAGCTTTCCACCAAAAAAAGCTTCTAGATATATGGCTTCCAATTTACAATTTTAGACCAAGTAATAATATTTAAACCAAGCTAAACACCACCACTAATAAGACAACAGCATAAAGACAGTACCCTAAAAGATCAAGCACAAGATCTAAAGATGACATGTCAGAGACATAAGCCGCTATCTGTTAGCCAATGTTTCAGAAACAGCAGTTATCTTACAAAGGTTTTGAATTTATTGCAAACCACCTATAATATTGCTATTTATTATTTGCTTGGCATAGGTCTGTTGCCATTGTTCTCAGAGAAACAAGCCTGCTTTTAACGCCTCTGGCGCCTGGAAATTTATCAGCATTATATTCCACTTTATCTGAATAATGGGAGAAACTGACAACAGCTCAGGTCAAAGGTTCTTTTCATATCAGACCTTCAAGAAGTCAATGATTCAAATCGAGGAACACCTTCAGATAACTGCACGCCTCATAAATTGTAAAGATCTTTTTAATATCTACAATGCAATGACAGATTCTGGATATTAATGTTATTTTTTTTCCAGAGGCACCACAATTGCCGACTACTCCTTTTAACATTTCTAATTAGAGGCACATTTACAGCGAGCTACAAGAATAGACAAGATTAATAACTAGCAATAAAAAGCTGTTACAGTCTATCTGGGGGAATATTAATGTAGGGAGTCCAAGTAAGGCATTGTTTAAAGGAAAAAACACACCTCGGCTATGAATAAATAAAAACAGCACTCCCTCGCATGGGGGACAATAAATAACACTTTTAAGTGTACAAGGAAAAGAACAAACGGATGGAGTGGCGAAACCAGTCTCCTACCTGATAAGCGGCAGTAGCATCCGACCCAGAATCGGAGCCCAGGCTGGTCAGCTTTTCCTTCAGTTTGTGATGTGAGCTGTGGCGGAGGCAGTAGATGACCCCAGAAGCCACAAGGATCCCAAAAATGCAAGCAATGGAGAGGAGCGTTAGGATGATGAATTTGGTGGCATCTTCTTCTCCTCCAGCATGGTGGGGCAAAAACTGCAGCTTGCTTTTCTGTAATAAAAAAAAGCAAAAAAGAGAAATACTCAAGTGTTTGTTTCAGGCAGAAATAAGATTTAAGTCCCATAACGGCTGTCAACAAAATTCTTCGCACCCTAAGATAACATAAGGATAAAACACAACCGTTCCACATTACTGCAAATCAAGCTTTTCCTATTTTGCAGTTTTTCTGCTGGTTTTGACATTAGTTAAAATGCATTCCAATTCGGTGGAATGGGGTGCAACACAAATGTAAGCTAATGCTAAACAGGTTTATTTCCAAATATGCCTCACTTGTTTACTATTTATTGCATTTACTACTTATTGCATCAAGGCATCCCAATCTCATTGATGTTTCTAAAGAAGTACCACTGGGTTCAACCAGACTTTCTCCCAAGTAAGCATGCACAGCACCACAGCACTAAATTAACTGGAACAAAACAAATGAGAAGCCACCCCAAAAATAAACAGATCCCCCCCCACTCAGTTTAAACGTTCCTTATTAACACATACCTTGCCTCATATTTCTAAAAAGCTAGACAAACTGTCCAAGAAGATACTGGAAACTGGTACAAGGGGGGGAATGACTTCTAATAACAAAAAATCGCAGGCTTGAGACAGATAGGGGTATTCTGTTGCAGGTAAAGTTCTTCCTGATGCTTTTTATGTAAAAAGTGAGAAGCGAATTTCTTCTTCCAGGATAAAATCAGTCATCCTAAACATCTGTCCAGGCGGCTCCTCAAAAACTCCTGCTCGCCATTCCCATTGTGGTTTTTATTTCAATTATTATGGAACAGAGTTTTCTAATGGGAAGGAGGGAATCCAGCAGGCTCCCCCTACCCGTCGATGGGGAAAAAAGCCAAGCATAAATTCAGATCCTTGAGGGAAAAAGGGAAGGAGGAGGGAGAATTAACACGTTTCCAAACTCCTCCGGATTTATTTTTTTTTTTTTAAAGGAGATATAATTTTTGTGCGTGCGCAGCGATGGCAAAGAAATCCTGGCGCTGTTTTTCACTCGTCTCCACGCGTTCAAAAAGTTGTTCAATGATTTCCTCTCATTAGCTTCATTATAGGCTACATTAGCAACAATTAAAATCGCAGCCTGGCACTGAAAGGCCCAGGCAGGCAGGCAGGCGCGCTCATTTGGCCCGCTCTTGACAATTACCCGGGCAATGAATGGCAGCGCACGCCCCGGCCGCGACAAGAGGCGCGCAATTAGCCAAGTCCTCGGGAAACGAGACCCGAGACGCCCCCCGGCCCGTCTCTCTCGCCGCCTCAGGTCCTCCCGGCCGGTTGAGCCTCGTCTTGTGCGGGGCCCGGCTCTCCTGCTGAGACCCTCAGCCCCACCAAGCCGCCGCGCCTGGCCGGGAAAGGGGAGGGGGAGGCGCTGCTCGTCTCCTCCCTCGAGCTGCGCGGGGCTGGCTGGCGATGCTGCGTGGCTTAACACGCTCGCCCGGCTACACGCAAGAGCCGAGGCACCAGGCTCGCCTGCCGGAGTGCGGGCGGCGAGTGACTGACTGACGGTCGGCGAGGCAAGGCGCGCCCGCCCTCCTCACTGGCTGGCTGGCCCTCTTCGCAGGGCGGGGCTCCCCCCCTCCGCCAGCCCCGCGCGCCACTTTCGCTTTCACCAGGAAAACGCCGCTCCGGCTGCAGCCCCCGCCTCCTCAGCCAGCGGGAGGGAGGGAGAGCGGGAGGGAGGGAGGGAGGGAGGGAGGAGCCTTCTTCGCCCCGTCGCCACCTGCCTTTCCTCCCGCGCTCGTGGAAGGGGGACGCTGCTATTGCTCGGCCTCCCTTGCGCACACACGCACCCTTGCTGGGACACCTGCCCCGCCCGGCTCCAAGGCCACTTCCAACCCCGCCCCGGAGGGGACGCTTCGCTCACCTAGGGCGACCGCCGGGGAAGAGGGCCTGGCTGCCCCGCAGTGTAGTCCCCGGCGCACGTGGCGCGAATTGGGGCACCCAGCCACCCCATGTGCTGGCTTCTGAGGAGGAGACATGCCTCAGGGGAGAGGTGGCCGCGGCCTTTGCCCTCCTTTAGTACGTAGGTAGAGCCCGGGATTTCAGCAGGCCCGAAGGCCTCGGCCCTCTTGGGGGCAGGCCGAATCCGACACATCGAGTTCAAGAGGGCTTACTCCCAAGAAAGTGTGCTTTGTAGGGCAATCTGCGCGTGCGCAGCTCGACAGCCCGGTCCTCAAGCGCTTTTCGAAGGCGGTAGGACGCAGCACTTGTTCACTCAGAAGCCAGTCTCTCTCTCCCCCCCCCCCTTTCCAGTGGCGGCTGGCGGCTGGGAGTGCGGCTTTCCCGCGCGAAATGCCGGGAGGTGTGGCTTGCTTTCGGCGCCAGAAATGCACAAAAAGCTCCAGTTCCCCCTGCTAACCGCGCGGGAACATGCGAGCGGGTCCCGCTCAAGCCAAGGGCAGCAACCCAGGGAAAAACCCCACCCAGCAAGTTGCGGGCTCTTGGGAGGCGTCATGCAGCTAGTCCAGGGCTTCCACTCCCGGGCTCTCCCACTTCCTGGGGAAGCGCTTGAACTCAATGGGGGCTTACGCTCGAGTAAGCATGTGTGGAGAGGGTCCCTGGAACCCTCCTCTGCGCTGAAGGGCAGTAAGCACGGAAGGCCCCGTTTGCTCCAGGCCTGCCCTCAGCCGAACCTTTCCCATTCTGCGGAAAGCCCCCGGCGGGGGAAAGGTCTCCATCTGCATCTCAATAGGGCCCCTTGAAAAATGATCTTCCTCCTGGCTGGAGGAGACGCGGCCCTGCCCAGCGGCCCCTGCGTTGGACGGCCCTTAACTGGACGTCCCCCCACCCCCGCAAGAAGGACCGCTCGCCCGCCACAACCTCGACGTTCCCCAGGGGGACCAGCTGCTGCCTAAACACTCCTGACGCCTCCTGGAAGCAGCTGCTCCGAGCCCCAGCCCCCCAGGCCAGGGAGGGCCCAAGACCCCCGCGGTGGAACGGGCTCGCCGGCGCTCCACCTCGCTCTGCCCACGCGCCAATTTTGCCCGGCGTGGGGGCTGTTCTTCCCAGAGAAGCTCTACGCCCATGCATGCAGTATATACAGGAAGGATGCTTAGATGCTTCCGTGCAAGCCAAGGGCTCCCAGCTTTTGACACGAAGTTACACCTTGTTTGAGGAAGAGTCCCACTGAGCACCGTGAAATGTAGTGCCGCCAACGTATGTAGAAGATGGGAGACGGCTGCTGGTAAAATAAAATGGGCAGCCCGATCCTAAAAAGTTTTTAAACTCCGGGTCTCCCTGGTCGTTCTGCACTATCACTGGAAGCAACTACTAAAAAGCCAAGTGGGTTACTCCGCATCCTTGGCTGATTACCCTGCTTATCATTGGCTACCGGAAATTCTTGTCCCAAGATAGGTGCCTGCAGCCTTAGGCTCGGTGTTATAGCAAGAAAATCTAGATGTCTGCTGAATCTGCGCTTTAGACCCTACACTGAGAAAGAGAAGGGCACCGTGGGGCCACTATGGTGATGAAAGGGAAGAGAAGGCTACAACCTGTTCGTCTAAGGCACCCATGGTTTTCTGCTGTCTTCGAACACCTCAGGTGTAGCTGTTTTGATTACTCCGTCAGAAAGGCAGATATGCCAGTAACTGACTTTCGCGCTAGCCAGAGTCAACTCCTCACAGGCAATCCTACTCAAGCAGCGAACACTGTTACAATGTAAGTCAAATGTCTTCAGGCCTCAGTTGTCCATCTGCATAGTGGGTGCAATATTGTCATGTTTTACCGAACTGTTGTGAGGAATGAAACGAGGGGAAGCAAACGTGTCTTTAAAAAGCAGACTGGATCGATTCGTGAAGGAGCTTACTAGCCACACACACCCCAAGCAGAGAACCAAGTCCTTGGCTTCCATACGCCCTGTTCCTTGACTCTCCAGGACAATGCCGTGGCCACTGTGTCTGTAAAACAGGTTGCTGGACTATAGGGACGGCTGGTCTAATCCATTGAGGCGTCTCTTCGGTTCTTATGAGATCGCTTTGCAAAGCGCCCATTATAAACAGTCGTGGGAAGCAGCCGTTTGGAATCAAGCGCGATCGCCCCCTTTCCACAGCCCTGCCTGGCCTGGCCTCCTCACATGGTCCCGAATACAGTGGCGAACCGGTTTCCACCTCGCTGGGGAAAACACACGGTTGGAAGAGATTGTAATTAAGCGCAGAAGAATAAAGCGCCGTCAAAGGCGCGAAGTAAACAGCCAGATAAGGCGCAAAAGGCATCTCTTGTCAATCGCTCGCCGACTATGGAGAGCAAATCACTCTCTCTCGCTCTGCCGAGGTCTGTGGTACTGTTTGTAAATAGCTTTAATTTGTATTGCGCTGTCCCTCCTTCCGAAGAGGTCAATCTGCACGGGGGTTTCAAATTGCTTTCCAGATCGCCTGTTCAAGGTTGAACAATGAGGCGACCGTAAGTCGTTTCGGGGTGTTAAATCGCTGCCGCGCCCGCACACACACGTACGAGTGTGGCTTGCCAGGAAGTTCGAAGCGGCTTCCAAATAAGTTAACGGGGGGGGGGGG